CCCTTCGTCCATTTTTCACCTGATCCCATCCTCTGATGAGTGCTTGAGACGTGCCATTTCCGTATGGATGAATCTGTCAATATCAGTCGTATAAGTCAATGGGTGGGGGAGTCGAGAAGTGTGTATCCGGTGTGGCCGTATATCTCTGGGTGTGTCAGTAGATGAGTGCTGTGAGAGATGCCTCGTGCCTTTATTGCTTTTAGTTGGCAGGAAATGCCCAGCGTAAATCAAGGTGTCTGGCACTAATATTAAGAGATATTAATGGGAGTGCGGCCTGTTGGTAATACAGGAGGTGAGAGAGAGAATGAGCGATGGTTATGGATAAATCATTCATCCTTATGATGCCTGTAACACCGAGACCTGCAAAGAGGAAAATTAGTTTTACCAACACTGGCGTGTGCTTCTTTGGGACACTTTTTTTTTTGGGACACCATAATTTTATGTTCCTTTATATGTGAGCATATGTAAGCATAGCGCAAAAAAGGAATGTTCCCGATTAAATACAGGATCAATCTGTTGCATGCCATAAATTGGCATACAAAATAATCTCTATTTTGTGAATGGCATAAGTTAAATAAAAAATATGAAATAAATATTAAAGTAATAATAATAATAGTGAGCATAATTTTTTTTAATCTGCAGATTACAGAGTGCAGTTTTTTTTTTTTTAAATAAGAGTATTTTTGTAGGCTAAAACTTGGAAACGAGTTAGCATTTTAGCTACTGCTGTCAAACGATTAATCGCATCTAAAATAAAAGTAAAAGACCCTGGACCACAAAACCAGTCATAAGGGTAAATTTTTCTAAATTGAGATTTATACATCATCTGAAAGATGAATAAATAAGCTTTCCATTGATGTATGGTTTGTTAGGATAGGACAATATTTGGCCGATATACAACTATTTGAAAATCTGGAATCGGAGGGTGCAAAAAAATCTAAATATTGAGAAAATCACCTTTAAAGTTCACCTTTAATACTTGCCAGAAGGCCTACAATTCACTAAAAAAAATTTTTTTATTGGTCTTATGAAGTATTCTAATTTGTTGAGATAGTGAATTGGTGGGTTTTTGTGAAATGTGAGCCAAAATAATCCCAATTAAAAGAATTAAAAGGCCTAGTTCATTTATAGACTTTTACAGCAGCAACTGCATTTAGGCTTCAAAATTCTAGTTGTGTTTGTTTGTAAAGACACTTTAAGTGAGAGTCAGGTAGAATAAACGAGTGAGCACAATTAAAATAAACAAATAAATAAAAATGTATAAAAAAATCAAATTCTAACCTGTATGATAATCTATTGTGCAACCCTAATAAATATACGGCATCACTACAGCACTCTGCGCCAATGTGCTCATCTAAACGCGTCATCTGCACATGTGCATGTAATTGACTGACACTTACAGTTGGGCAGTTGCTTATGAGAACCGTTCAAAGAAAAAAATGGATTAGCAGAAGACAAATGTAAAAGCCACAATGGTCCTCTTTTTGAAGGTCAGCTGAGGTATTGCAAAGCTGTATAAGTGTGTGTGTTTCGAACGCGTCTGTACTAGTTCACGTTCAAGAAACCTCGACCGTGCACGAGGGGTAACAACGAGCGGGAAAAAATCAGACAATCCACGATTTACGCATTAAGCACAAATAATACACTCTCTTGCAACACAGACTGATATAATAAAATTACGTGCTAACCTGTACAAGCTGTTATATACATAACTCCTTGGACCACAGGGCCATAGCTAGGAGTTATGGGCCCTGTGCACTGAATTTGCTATGGGGCCCCCTAAAATCATGCAATTGTGGGCCCCACAGTCGTATGCACTCTGTCCCCCCAGTCCAACTAAACCTGACTCGGAGAAGGATTGCAACTAGCTATTTTAAGAACACATATTTTTTAAAACGGGTTTCAAAGTGCAAGTTTTTGTAAATGGCACCGTTATCGTTTCCGTGTAAACACCCAATACGGGAATCTTTGTAAATGGTGACGTTATGCATGTGCGTAGTACGTGTTGGGTATGTAGACATGCGCAGTATATGTCGATTTTAAAGGCAAGCGTGAACAAACATACACAACAATGGCGGAGTATGGTACTGTTGTTGCTGCTTCAGCAAAGTGTGGATTTACTTCACCAATATTACAACCAACAGTGGAGACACATCATATACATCATATAATCGTCACTTCACTACTGGCCTGGCATACGTAATACAGCGTTTTTGGCTGTTTTCGCGGATATGTGTAAACATGAATCGTTTTGAAAATGTTGTCGTGTATACGTGAAACTTTTTAAAGATGCAAGGGAAAAACTTTTCCATTTTTTACTTCATCGTTGTCGTGTAAACGTAGCCTTAAAGAGAAATAGAGATAAATCCCACAGGAATTACATTTGTAAAGTGGTCATCCACCTAGAATGGTAGTCCCATTTATAAAATAAAGATTTAGGCAACTTTACAGTATGGCATATTCGTAACATCTTTCCCCATAGACGTCCACAGCAAATGTGTTACTCTGTGTAAATTTTTTTTGCGGGAGAGAGAGTTTGGGTTTCTCAGAAGTAAAACATGCTTGTGGTCAAATATACAGTAAATACAGATAATCATTTTGCTTGGATTTCTTTGGTTTCTCTCAGGAAAACTATTACTTCTGAGGAGCAGGATGGCATGTGCGTTGTAAAGTGGTCATCCACCTAGAATGGTAGTCCCATTTATAAAATAAAGATTTAGGCAACTTTACAGTATGGCATATTCGTAACATCTTTCCCCATAGACGTCCACAGCAAATGTGTTACTCTGTGTAACTTTTTTTTCTGGAGAGAGAGTTTGGGTTTCTCAGAAGTAAAACATGCTTGTGGTCAAATATACAGTAAATACAGATAATCATTTTGCTTGGATTTCTTTGGTTTCTCTCAGGAAAACTATTACTTCTGAGGAGCAGGATGGCATGTGCATGACTCTTTTGTTCCACTTTGTTTTCTTATGGCTAGTTTCAAGGCCTTTTTATTTGAACTTTTGAAATAATCAGCCGACACAAAACCTTTATGAAATTGAATGTCTCAAATCCTGCTGACCCTGCAGAAGACATGAATACTCCCTCTGAATTGTCACCCTTATGGCATTATTTCCCTTCTGATGTCGGGTAATTTTTTCTACTTGATTGCAAATTACACAGACAGAGCTCATCTGGGCACAAAGCTGATGCTTGTCTTTCTGTATTCAAGGCCCCTTAAAAGAACGCGGGGCACATGGCACTGAAGACTGCAGAAACCAGACATTATGCCTAATTGCCTTTGGTAATAACAAAGGGCCTCCTATCTTCGGCTCCCCTCAGCTGTCCTATGAGTCACATCCCTGTCCCATCTCAGTATCCCTCTGCCCACTTCCGTCTTCACTTTGCTTTCAAGCTATGAAATGGCCCATGACTAATCATCATGTACAGCATGTTAAGTGCATGCTGGGCATAGGTCTACCCTTTCACCTTTCAACCCTCACATATGAAATATTTGACAAGTGGACCAGAGTAACCATGGACTTTAGACTATAATCCTCATTTTAGAGGCCAGAGTTCAGAGATCACAAGTGACAAGCACATACATCTTAGGAAATGACATGAAATCCATTACAAACAAGTTAGATATGGCCACACTTGGGGTTCTTGAAAACTGTAAGCTGTTACCGCTAACACTGTTTTGCAGCTCCTTTTTGCCACAAAAACATTTGAGTTTATGATTTTTTTAGGACTGCTAAGCTGGTTAGTGACTTTTGAGTCATCAGTCAAACTGACAGGACCTCACTAAACCACAAGAGCTTTTTATGGCTTTCTGTTCATGTGTCAAGTTAAATGTTGTAAACTGTAAAGCGCATAACTCTTTTTGCCCGTGAAGGACATACTGGCATAGTGAATCGAATGGGGCTAATCCATAGGAGATGTAGACATTCAGTTTATGTCCTATTTTAGTAATGAGAATCCAAGAGTGCTTCAATTACAGTCTTTACACATTTACTGACACTGGCAGCATGTCTGGTTTAGCACTAAATGGCACAGTCTGCCAGAGAACGGTCTGATGTGCACTTCAATGTTGAATACTTTTGAGCTCAGGGGTTTTAACACTTTCTGATGCCATAAACCGCCAAATATAATGATCCATTTTGGTCCTCTTTCTAAAAATATAAAAACTAGGGGTGGAACGGTTCGTGGAAAAAAATCGAACCGTACGGTTCTCCACACACGGTTCGGCACGCGCTAGGACCGCGGTTCAACTTAAATCTGACAACGCATCTGTAATATGGTTTCTTATAAATAACACGTAAAAAAAACAAAAAAACAGTGTTCGGCTAATGTATGTTTCTGTTGATGGATGCGCATTCTGGCTTCCCAGTACATTATAACAACAGCGATGAAAAAAAAAAAACGTGGACAAACCATTCACTCTGTCGTATGCTGGAATATGAGCAGTCATTTAGTCCATCATGATCACCCGGGTGCTGATAGCGCACGCACACAGGTGAGACCTGAACAGCACACGCTGATATCTGAGTTTAAACTAAACTCATTTAAGCTTTGCCAGTTTAAACATTTAAGAGCCAGAGGACGCGAGCTCGCAGTGAGAAGATTTGTGCGTGCACTCATCCGAAGCGCACAAACCTGTGTCTCAGAATGCACGCAAATATTAAGCTCTCTCTGAAGTATTGTGTTTGAATGGACAAATTCACACAAAAATTATGTCAAAATACCCGTCTTGGTAAGTATCCTATAGCAGACATAGCCGGCTGAACGTACTGGATCAGTGCACTGGATCAGTGCATTCTCTTAAAGTGACAGCACTTTCTTAATATTAATCAAACAGCAACAACAAAGAAATCACTCACTGCTCTTGATTGCAGGGGCGTGTCTAGAGCATTTTAAATGGGGGAGCCAGTCGGGGGCACTGGCTCAAAAGAGGGGGGGGGGCACCCCCAACCCCCACCCCCCTCTCCCCTCTTAGTGTCATTAAGATCACACTGTGTTTTGACGTGATAAAGTGTCGTGTCTATCCTCATGTTCGTTTCCCATACCGTATCATCTAAGCTGGAGCACTACAAAAAGTCACTGCCACTTTGAGGGAGAATGGAGTCTGTAGGTCCTAATAAGGGACAGGAGCAGCAGGTTTTGCTGATAAGCCTTCAAAAAAATCTCTGTGCACTGCTTGACACTGTTTGAGTACAAGTTGGAGTTTGCAGGCTTTCCTGTGGCATCAGCTCAGAGAAAATAAATTATCATCTGCAGCACCCTAGTATGCAGAAGCTGTGTCAATATTTCACTGTCGGAAGTGGTTCTTGCATCTCCATGCATCTCTTTTTTTCTCGACCAGATCTCGCTGTGATGGTAGAAAAAAAGTAGCATAATGCGCCACATATAAGAGTTCGGGCCATGCCTGATTGCAGAAAGTTTTTCGCAACAGAAGTAATCCTAGATGACCTTTTACTGACATTCAAATATGTCCATGTTTGTCCGTTATCTCCGATAAGTGAGAAAGTAAAGCAGGTGGACCAAGAATAGTTTCATCACACTGAAACACCACAGCGCGCACAGAACCACTTGCAGAAAAAACTTATAATACAACATTTTTGTATGGTACAGAGGCGGCGGCAGCAGCAGTCCAGCAGCAGGTCTGATCGGTGAGCGGCTATAATGTCTGTGGGACTGTTAGAAGAACTGAGACCAGAGACAGCAGCAGCACAGTCCAGTCCAGCAGGCAGACAGCACTAGTTGAGCTCCGAGCTATTGCATTAAAGCTACTGGGATCATTCAGCTGTGGATCCTGTGGAAAAAAGGTCATGTTTTCATATTGTTAGTCATTCTGACATTTTCTGATTGTTTTGTTCTTAGTTGTGCAGGCAAGCCTTAAAATGTCACAGTTTAGGCAAAATGTGCATTTTGAAACACTTTTTTTTTTTTTTTTACAGATTTACGTGAATAGTATGAACTCCCATTTCCACTTCAGAGTTAAAAGATAAAAAACGATTTGCTACTTTTTCTTGTAATTATGTCTTCATATCTTACAAATGCAACTTTACAGTTCACAATTGCAAGTTTGCCTGTTAATTACTTTCATAATTCATAATTCTCTCTTCTGTGACAGATCACAGCTTTAGCCTCTTAAGATAGTCGCAATTACAAAAAATACAGTCACAATTACAAGAATAAAAAATAAAACAGGTAATTACAAGAAGTTGTGACTTATTTCTCAAAATTGCGACTATATCACAGTTGTGACCTTATGTTACATACGTTCACAGTTGTAAGACAACTACTTCTTGTAAGAAAATTACAAGATATAAAATCTGTCTTCGACAAAATTGTCTCATAATTATGACTTCATGTATTGTTATTGTGACTGTGTTTCTCTTAATTGTGACTCTTACAACTGTGACCTTGTGTCACATAAAATATGAGAAATAAAGTCCTAATTGTGAAATACTTTACCTCATAATTACCCATTTTATTTATTATTCTGAGGTGGGGCTTTCATAGCGTACCTTTATGGAATGGAATCAAAAGGGCTGTTCAAACAAGATATGTTTTGCCTTTAAAAGAGCTTAATATGCCCTAAAAACATACTGACATCTGTAAAAAAAAGTTTCCACCTACTTTAACTTTAAAGCATAAGTACAGATGCTGCCTTAAATTTTTAAGTATAATCAAATTGGCTGTACAGGTAATTTCAGCTTAAATTATATTAAACTTACTTTAAAAAAAATGTAGTATAATTTAAGTTAAAATTGGTAAAATTATTTTGATGAGTTAAAGTAATGAAAATCTTTGTTATCATGACTTATTGAACACATAATTTTTTACAGTGGGATGCAGCAACAACAAGACACGCCGCAACATTCAACAACGTCCGCTTAGTGCATTATTGCATAGACAAAAATGTACAGAATGTATCTCGTGTGAACAGCCCCATATTGACTGGAAAATGCTAGGTGAGTAGAAATGTAAGATTCTTACCACACAAAGAACATCCAGAGTAACATTACTTTTCAGTTTCTGAGCCTATAAAGAAAGAGAGAAAGAGGCCAGCTGAAATACGGGCTGAAAAGTCAATTACTTGCAAAAAGCTCTTCAAGGTTTTGTGTTATAAACCATTTCTCACACTGAAGCATTTCCATCCAGCAACCCTTTAAACTGAGTCCAGTGCGATCTAAGTCAAGCACAGCTCCAATAAAGCACTGTAATTTACCACGGCAAATAGAGGTCATATAGTATTGGCCCCCCCCCCCCCCCCCCCCCTCAAAACTACACTTATTATTGTCAAACCAATTAACACAGCACCTCAATTCAAATTGTGGTATAGTGTTATTTTAGTATACTTTTATATTATTATAGTATTTATTAATATTTTAAAATAGTTTAAAATCATAAAATATTTAAATCAGTTTCAGTTTTAATGTTATTTTTAGTTTAATTTATTGTGCTTTTGTATATTTTAGTAATTTTAGTTTTTAATATTTCTATTTAGCTTAATTTATTTTTATTTTAGTTCTAGTAATTGTACAGCTTCAACATATTTTATTTAACATTTCAATTATCTTTCAAGTCCAAGTTCTTAATCTTATTTTATTCCAGCGTTATAAAATGTTAGTTTTAACTGAATAAACCAAAATTCATTCTCAATTCAGGCCTGTTTAAAATACAATTGGCATTGACATGTCGCTATCAAATGTTTGGTCTTTTGTTATCTACACCTATTTGGATATTAAGAGCTTCTCTCTTCATCTCTTAATACTAAAGCAGATGAACTCTGATAAAGAGGCACTTAGCCTCTGTGTGTATGTGCAGTAAGACCTTCACTTACTAAGTTTCTGGGACCTTTCCGGTGATAAAACGGAGGCCATTATGATGCAACTGCTTTTTTAAATGACTTTATTCTGAAGAGCACTTTTGACTTCAGAGTGTCTTATTTACCTCTTGCCACAGAAAGCTAAAGGGCAAGTGGGAGATTATTGATGGGTACTCAGGTAAAGAATAAGCTGCATGTGTATTAAGTACCGTCTATTGACAGAGACAAGGGTAGGCTGACCTTATTACTGAGTGAGCGTTGAATTTCCCTTAAGGCCGTGCAAGCTCATTCTGTTTCTTAAGGGTTAAAAACTCATAAAGCCTCATTCTGCATCTTCCATTGCATTGGATGGATGTGTATTCCAAGCATAATTCTGGATCGTTTATATACAGTAGATTTAAAGGCTTAAAGGACAGATTTTTGGGGGGTTGTCAGACTGTACAATATGACCCTGGAGCAGGGTGCGAACTACGGGGGAGCTCGGCTCCCCTTAATAAGACATGGGCTCCCCTGAAAACTTGATTTGTGAAATTTTGGGGGGTCTCAAAAAATATTGACAATGTGTTATTTTGACATGCAATTTCAGTTTTGTGTAATATGTTCATCGTGGATTATTATGTGTAAAATTGCAAAAATATCATTCATTCATGCATGACGGCGATTTAAACCTAATTCACTTCAATAAAGAAAACTATACATGCTATTCTAGTCATTAGCATCACGGTGTGGGGGCGCTTCGGTGCAAATTCCACTCACGTTTAGTACATGTTAACTCAAAGATTTGTGGAAAAAATATAAACGTTGGACTCTGTGCCTGTGGTCGATTCTGTGTTACGGTAAGGCATGTTATTCGCAATTATGTGTTGTGGCCAGGTTGTTATAGGTCTGCGTGACTCTCGATGTCTTAGGTCTAACTGAAATGAGGAATTATGGTATTCTTCTGTAACCTGACGACGAGTAACTTTAACTGTTGTTCATGTGAACTCAAAGACAGCCTGATGCTTTGGCTGTTAACGAGACACTGCGTCCTCTAGCTTTTTGTGCCAAGCTGCGGACACAAGCTTCAGACGAAGAAGTGATGATGTGCGCTACCGGCGCCTATTTTGTACTAGTTGCGACGGTAGTGACGTCATGGCTGTCGCCGGCCAAACAAGTTGGTGTTTTTTCAATGTAGGCTTCAGACACGGGTCACGACGAGGCGTCCCCCATAGCGACCCCTAGAGGACGCAGTGTCTCGTTCCCCTCAGGGAACCATGGTTACATAAGTAACCCGAGACGTTATTTATCCTATGTAGTGCTTGCATAAAGCAAGTAGTGCATAAACTTGTAGCTGTTATGCATCTTTGTAAGTCATTGTAGGCCCTTTTTTGAGGCACGCGCAAGTGCACGATTATTAAAAATAAGTGAGTAAAAGCCAAGGCAGACTGTGCAACATCAACTGTACTTATACATCTTAGCAGACTTTAAGCAAAGAAGGGAGTATATTGACTTCATTCTTTAGGCGCAAATTCAAGCTCATCTTGACTGTAAAATTGTAACATGTTAGGAAGATCGTTATATTACACATCATATAGACAAGCTAACATTATTCTCTCGCTCTCTCTCACACGTCTTTAGTTGCTGTGCTCGTATTGGTTTATTATTAGATGGCCATCAAATGAGTGGCCAGATTTAGAGGCTTTTTTAGAAAAGTAATTTAATGTGTTCAAATCTATGAGACGATTTTCATCATTTAACCTAATATGATAATAAATGCTTATGTTTTGGATTTTTTTTTAGTTAATTCAAAACAGAAAATTCTGTCATCTTTGTTCATCCCAAGGGTGAACAATATCATGGACACTCAAGGTGAATAAAAAAGTATTGGTACTTTAGAACCAAGTCAAAAACCTGCACTAACTACTAATTGAGCTTAAACAAAACTGATTTATATCAACATGATGTGTGCATTAGGTCTGATGCATCCTAATAGACCTGCTGCAGTCTGTAATGCCAGTAATGGGCCCTCCGTGATATACAAATAATGGCATGTGTTCATTACAAACTAGAAAGAGCTAAGAAATAATTTTGCTGATGCTGTCTCATGCTGTTTGAACTCCTTGACATCTTGTTGGACAGTTTGTTCTCTTTCCCTCCACCTCTCTCTCTATAGGTAAACAGAAAAGATGAGAACGTGTCAGATATGAGGTGTGGATGTGGCGTGACTTGTGTCGGTACTGCTGTATCATCCGGGCTGTCATCCTAAAGGCCATTGTCTCATGTAGACAAATCCTCCCTCTCATCTGTTCCCTGTCTATTTCCCTGCATCCAGTTTATCTCAATGGATGTTTTTGAATAACTCCCTGACAAAATAATGCATGCTTCCAGGCCCATGGACACCCGAGTAATGCTTTATTGCCTTTTTATATCAATCCCCCCTCTCAGCCGCCCCATTTAAGAGGGATTTCTCTGTCTCTCGGCCGTCAGACTGCCCTGAACCACGCAGGAACACAAATCACAGAGATCAGATTTACTGGTGCAGACTGTGAATGATCATGAAGATGCAACGGAGCAGAATTCAGCTTTAGAGTCAGTCTTGATGGGCAAATTCTGTCAGTCAGCACAGAACGCCATGTGACCAATGATATAGCAGCAGCAGCAGCAGCTGTGAATGAAGTCTACTCACGGAGACAACGGTTGTTGGTGAAGAACTCGGTGAACTTGTCACACTCTGCTTTTCCGTTTCCACTGTTGCTGCAGTCACACCAAGGTGACACGCTGATGCCAGGGGCACGGAGGTAGTTTGGAGTCATCACCGTACCTGTGTCACACATAGCAAGGAGCAAAGTTCAAAGGTCATTTATGTTGAAAACAAGGACGTTTATGAAATTAGATTCTAACAAGACAGTAGGCGCGTTTCCATTACAGATTTGCGCAAAACTTTGGCTAAATTTTCTGAATGTCGATAAAAAAGTATTGCGAAATGGCGGCGTTTCCATTAACCAATGTTGCGGCTAAAACGTAAACTTTTGCCTCTTGCGATAAGTCATGGCAACGGATTTTGGTGGGATTTTGGCTATATTTATTCAAAGGAGGCTTATGCGTGTATCTTTACAGAAGCAGCAAAGAGAGCCGCTTCCGAAACGTGCGCGGCGCGGCTGGAATAAACCATAGACTGTATAAAAACATAAACACAAGCATTGAGTGGTCGTAATCAGCTTCAGTGACCGTATCAGAGCCACACTGCACCGCAGACGTGTGCAATGTAAATTGTCTAAGCATTAATAGTAGGGAAAGCCCCTTATACTGGAGCACGGCCACTTATGAAGTGTTTCTTGGAGGTTATAGTATGTTGAAGAATGATCATATGACTTTTTACATACGCCATTTGACCTGTAAATGCGAAAAAGCCGTTTCCATTGCAGTTTTGCGAATTAATCCTTTTGCGCATTGCCTGAAAAACCACCTCATGCGAGCGTAAAAACTTTTTTGCGATATATGGCCATTTTTGCGAAATTGACACGTTTCCATTAGGCGTATTTTCAATTTGCAATTTCAATTTGCGCAATTTGAAGGGTAATGGAAACGCGAGTGGCTGTATTTCAAAATCTAGCAAGCAGCCATTATAGACAGCATTAGGGATCAAAAAAGCATGCTGGATAGGCAGTTTACTAGGTAAGACAAACAGTGCGGACAAGCCAATGCCTTATAATAAATAAATGTAAAAAAAACTACATTATTTTATCCTTAACATTACAAACACAGATAAGTAGTCCAAGTACATTCAAATGCAAAATATACAGTGGCCCCAAACATTTAGAGGCATGTCTAATGTCCAAACATTAGAAGTGTATGAACGTCATTTCATTAGATACAAATTATTAAAGGAATAGTTAACCCCAAAATGCAAATTACCCTATGATTTACTCACCCTCAAGCCATCCTAGGTGTATATGACTTTCAGATGAATACAACTGGAGTTATATTTAAAAATGTTCTGGCTCTTTCAAGCTTTATAATGGCAGTGAATCGGTGATGAGATTTTGAAGTCCAATAAAGTGGGAAAGTTTCTACTCCTCATGGCTTCAGAGGGTTAACCTTTTTCCCCGCCAGCATTTTTGAAAAAAGTTGCCAGCCACCGCCAGCAATTTTGATGATTTTCACTCAAATTTGATGGTCTCCAGTATATTTTGCGGTATGAATATTTGAATATGCAATACACCAAAATAAAGATCAGAGCATTCTTTTTTTTATTAACACTTGAATATAGGTAGGTTTCATAAAAAATTAATAATTTTGAGCAAAAAGGTGAGAAAATGACATTTTTATCAAAAACTACATCTGGATAATATTCAGTACGATTATCAAAGCATAAATCCAGTAAATCGCTTCCATCAACACCTCCAAAGCTTGCACAGACATATACTTCCTGGATCAACATTTTACTCTAACACTATGCAGTTTTCATTTATATGCTGTCTATTGCTGATGATCGCATTATTTTTCATATGCATCTGTTTACATAAGAGATCGCTCGTTTCTCCGTCCTGTTCACGTGTGTTTTTGTTCGGGAGGTTTTGTACTCGATCAGAAGATGCGTAATAGCGCCCCGAGTGTATAACAGTGAAAAGCCGTAAAAACTAGTCTTTGGCGGGGAAGCGTTTTCTTGTAAAAGACGAGATAACTCGTCAATGGTGGGGAAAGAGTTTAATAAAGGCCTTCTGAAGCAAATCAATGCATTTTTGTAAGAAATATCCATATTTAAAACTTTATAAACCATAATCTCTAGCTTCTGCTAACTGTCGTGCAAGCCTTCAATTGAGAGTGGCCGTTCCAGCAGATGATGTAGGCATAGCATAAGCTGGATGGATTCACTTTAAGTGTTTCTTGGAGGTTATAGTATGTTGAAGAATGATCATATGACTTTTTACATACGCCATTTGACCTGTAAATGCGAAAAAGCCGTTTCCATTGCAGTTTTGCGAATTAATCCTTTTGCGCATTGCCTGAAAAACCACCTCATGCGAGCGTAAAAACTTTTTTGCGATATATGGCCATTTTTGCGAAATTGACACGTTTCCATTAGGCGTATTTTCAATTTGCAATTTCAATTTGCGCAATTTGAAGGGTAATGGAAACGCGAGTGGCTGTATTTCAAAATCTAGCAAGCAGCCATTATAGACAGCATTAGGGATCAAAAAAGCATGCTGGATAGGCAGTTTACTAGGTAAGACAAACAGTGCGGACAAGCCAATGCCTTATAATAAATAAATGTAAAAAAAACTACATTATTTTATCCTTAACATTACAAACACAGATAAGTAGTCCAAGTACATTCAAATGCAAAATATACAGTGGCCCCAAACATTTAGAGGCATGTCTAATGTCCAAACATTAGAAGTGTATGAACGTCATTTCATTAGATACAAATTATTAAAGGAATAGTTAACCCCAAAATGCAAATTACCCCATGATTTACTCACCCTCAAGCCATCCTAGGTGTATATGACTTTCAGATGAATACAACTGGAGTTATATTTAAAAATGTTCTGGCTCTTTCAAGCTTTATAATGGCAGTGAATCGGTGATGAGATTTTGAAGTCCAATAAAGTGGGAAAGTTTCTACTCCTCATGGCTTCAGAGGGTTAACCTTTTTCCCCGCCAGCATTTTTGAAAAAAGTTGCCAGCCACCGCCAGCAATTTTGATGATTTTCACTCAAATTTGATGGTCTCCAGTATATTTTGCGGTATGAATATTTGAATATGCAATACACCAAAATAAAGATCAGAGCATTCTTTTTTTTATTAACACTTGAATATAGGTAGGTTTCATAAAAAATTAATAATTTTGAGCAAAAAGGTGAGAAAATGACATTTTTATCAAAAACTACATCTGGATAATATTCAGTACGATTATCAAAGCATAAATCCAGTAAATCGCTTCCATCAACACCTCCAAAGCTTGCACAGACATATACTTCCTGGATCAACATTTTACTCTAACACTATGCAGTTTTCATTTATATGCTGTCTATTGCTGATGATCGCATTATTTTTCATATGCATCTGTTTACATAAGAGATCGCTCGTTTCTCCGTCCTGTTCACGTGTGTTTTTGTTCGGGAGGTTTTGTACTCGATCAGAAGATGCGTAATAGCGCCCCGAGTGTATAACAGTGAAAAGCCGTAAAAACTAGTCTTTGGCGGGGAAGCGTTTTCTTGTAAAAGACGAGATAACTCGTCAATGGTGGGGAAAGAGTTTAATAAAGGCCTTCTGAAGCAAATCAATGCATTTTTGTAAGAAATATCCATATTTAAAACTTTATAAACCATAATCTCTAGCTACTGCTAACTGTCGTGCAAGCCTTCAATTGAGAGTGGCCGTTCCAGCAGATGATGTAGGCATAGCATAAGCTGGATGGATGCACTTTATTGGACTTCTAAATCTCATCACCCATTCACTGCCATTATAAAGTTTGGAAGAGTCAGGACATTTTTTTTATATAACTGACTGTATTCATCCGAAAGAAAGAAAGTCATATAAATCTAGGATGGCTTTACAGTGAGTAAATTATGGGGTAATTTTCATTTTTGGGTGAACTATCTATGTGGCACCTTTAATTTTAATGGATGAATGAAGCCAGTTACAAATGCTGCATGTAGTTAATTGCATTACCTATGGACATGATCCATCTGAAAACCAGAATATATGCATATGTTTTGTGGTTTTAATTTTTGAATGTTATTGATTTTTTTTTTAAATAATACACTACTATTCAAAAGGCTAGGGTATAATACTTAATACTTTTATTCAGCAAGGATGCATTAAATTCATCAAAAGTGACAGTAAAGGCATTTATAATCTTAGAAAAGATTTATATGTCAAATAAATGTTGTTCATTTGAACTTTCATTGCATCAAATAAGCTTTTTGTGGACAACAATGTTTTTCTGTACATTTACCATAGTAGTACCATTTTTTAAATTAGGTTTGATTCATGACACTCTAAGGTATATAGTAATGACACAGTACACATCCAAAAACCATAGCACAAGAATTTCAGTACTATGGTATAAAATATATATATAGTACTGTACTGCCACAATAATTTATTGATGTGAGTTAACTCACCAATAAGACCTGAATATGCCAGCAGACAGTTGGCATAGTTTTCCTTCAGACACCCAGAAATCGAGCGCACCTCAGGTTGACAGTTGGTAAGGAAGTCAGCTAAACGAGATCTGAAAAAAATTAAGCAGGAATGAACAAGAATCCACACGCCACATCTCCTCATTAAACAGACTACTAGCACACAAGTGACATTCCTGCAGTCATCTCTTCTCAGACACCATGCACCCCACAGGATAAATAATGAACTCGCTGAAAAGTATAGTGAATATTCCAGCACTTTCCTCCTTACTCCATGACACGTAACACAAGCTGTCTTTTATCGAACCTGCAGATGTAGTTGGTCTTGCAGGAGTCTTGTAAGGAGAGACAGTTGGGTTTTTCTTTGTCCTCGTAGGAGCAGGCTGGCACGATGGTCTGACGTCTGCGCTCGGAGCAAGCCGTGTGATCCCCGGAGGGGCAGGAGCAGAAAAGCATGCCATAACTGTGTTTCGGTGGCACCTTGTCGAAGAACTGCCGCAGGGCCTTGTGGCACTTGCGCTTGTTACACACCTCAGTGGTTGAGACTCTACTGGTGCAGGGACTGATGTAGAAGGAGCGGTACTTCTTACACGTGTCATTCAGGTTGCAGGCCTTGGCAGCGTTCAGGCAGTTGTTGTCCTTCGTAAAGGCCGCCTCACCTATGCGGGCAGAGATTTAGAGGTAGCGTTAGGAACTCTACTGGCTGAGTTTACTGATGCAAGTGCTGTAAATGTCAAAGAACACTTGCTGAGAGTGGGGCAACTGTTGACCTTTTAGAACTCTCTGTGAACGTCCTCTGGCTGAGGTCATCCCGTATGGCATTCACATAACTAGAGGCCATATGTCACCCAGTATGTGGTCTGTGTGAGAGTAACTGTACTACTAATTGATATTCAGAAAAATGACAGAATTTTATTCCTAGTAGATTTAAAGATGAAGTGTGTAAAATACATTCTCCTGTCCCGGATTGTTAGCGATAACTGCAAGTAATCCATTTGTAGGTTGCTTACAATGAAAAGCGTCAACGCTTTGTTTCTGTTGCACTTTCAAAGTATTACTTCTGTTTGTTTGAGCTTCCACGCACAGCAACAGTGGTTCAACCAATGGTGTGAGTTTAGGGTGGTGCTCTCTGTTTGACCAGCCAATGGCAGAGTGTTTGGGAAACCATTTTGAGAATGTAATATACACACATACACTACCGTTCAAAGTTCAGGGCTCAGTAAGATTTTTTTATGTTTTTGAAAGAAGTCTCTTATTCTCACCAAGGCTGCATTTATTTGATCAAAAATAGAGTAAAATAGTAATATTGTGAAATAGTGTAACAAATTAAAATAACTGTTTAGTATTGGACTATATTTTAAAATGTAATTTTTTTCTTGTGATGGCAAAGCTGATTTTTTTAGTAGCCATTTCTCCATTCTTCAGTGTCACACGATACATCAAAAAACATTTTAATATGGTTCTAAAGAAATATTTTGAAAACTGCTTAATATTTTTGTGGTAAAAGTTAAAAACTTTACTGTCACTTTTGGACAATTCAATGTATCCTTGATTAATTAAAAAATAAATAAATAAAAAACTGACCCCACATTTTTGAACGGTAGTTTATATATTTCTCCATAATTCGTTCACATATTTCATTCTCATCACCAGTCTAGTGTGTCTGAAAATAAAATCACACGAATGCAATTTTTTCTCATTTATTATTGTTTCTCAATTTCTTCAACAGATCCCACACAAACTGCCTCAAGCATACCGAGACTCAATTTCCAGCCCTTTTATCATGTATTTCCCACCAAGAACTGACATCCTGCAGAGTGTTACAATTAGATAAAGCAACTAAACTCGGTTTAAAATAGGTTTTATTTGTGTTGCGTTTTAATCTTTTGCCTGAAGAACTTCCCTCAGCTGCTTGTACACTTTTCCTTTTGTTTCCCTCCTCTCAATCTACACAGCATTTGGGTCTCTTGAACAAACAACCTCAGGTGAATGCTTCACTTTCACTCACATGGATAAGTTCACAATCCTGAAAACTCTTTGCCTTTCCTCTCTTTTCTAAGCAGTCTTTTTGCTTAAATACACATTCCTATAAGAAAACAAACGCTGTCAGACTATTTAGCAATGCAAAAAGAAAGAACATAAACGTACTGAATACTGTGCTGAGCATTTTCAAAAATAGCTTTGATGATATAGGATGACATAAGGTTTATTTTGGAATAATGATCATCTGAATGTACATTATACTTTAATTATATGACTATTTACCAAATGATAAATGGACATGAACTATTTAAGTTTAAATTATTTTAATAGGCTACATGATAGATAGATAATAAACTAGTATAGCTTTGTAGAAGATTTGGTTGCCAGGGACAATGGTCACTTATGTAAATGTATATTTAATATATATATATATATAACATAAAATATTTGATAAAAGACTGACCAATCAGAATCAAGTCTCCAGTGAGCCGTGTAATAAATCACATAAAACATAAAACATATTTTATGTTTGATATAGGATGACATAAGGTTTATTTTGGAATAATGATCATCTGAATGTACATTATACTTTAATTATATGACTATTTACCAAATGATAAATGGACATGAACTATTTAAGTTTAAATTATTTTAATAGGCTACATGATAGATAGATAATAAACTAGTATAGCTTTGTAGAAGATTTGGTTGCCAGGGACAATGGTCACTTATGTAAATGTATATTTAATATATATATATATATAACATAAAATATTTGATAAAAGACTGACCAATCAGAATCAAGTCTCCAGTGAGCCGTGTAATAAATGAGGATATTCTTCTTTACCTAATGATGACTCCGTCTTCTCTCGATTCCTCTGCTTCCCGCTTCAGTAACTCAACCTTTTTGTCAATGCGCTGCAGCTTTCGCATGTGCATGGAATGCTGCATTTTGCAATTATGTGTTTTGATGAGGAATCTGTGCTTATTGTGGGCTTTCGTGAGATGACTGGATGTGATTAAATCTGAAAGCAGCCTAGATCCTTGAGGTTAATTACCTATTACAAAAAACATTACTTACGTTTGACAAGCACGTTGACATGAGGCTCAAGGTTATTGGATGGATGTTTAATTGTTGTTTAGAAGTTGCAGTCATGTGGACAGGTCCATATCTTCTTGCGATACATCGATCCTAAGCCACATTTATCATATTTGTCATATTTATTATTATTATTATTATCTGACTGCTATTTTATATTTGTAACTTGTAAATTGCATTTGGTTTGATATTCGTTTAAAGGAATAGTTCACCCAAAAATGAAAATTTGCTGAAAATGTACTCAGACCATCAAATATGAGTTTGTTTCTTAATCAGAACAAATTTGGAGAAATGTAGCATTACATTACTTGTTCAACAATGGATCCTCTGCAGTGAATGGGTGCCGTCAGAATGAAACTTCAAACAGCTGATTAGAAACATCACAATAATCCACAAGTTATCCAAAGGCACCAGTCCATTAATTACCATCTTGTAAAGCAAAAAGTTACGTTTGTAAGAAACAAATCCATCATTAAGGCACTTCTGACCAAAATACAAGGCCATAATCCTTAATAACACTTCCTCAAATGTGTACTCTCACATCAAAATGCACTGACATATTTGTTTTATTTATTTTTTAATTTTTTTGCTTGTAAATAGTGCTTGATCTGTGCATATTTCTATCCTGATTCAAACAAGAAACTGAAGAAAGCAATATTATGAATACAGGACTATTCTATTTATCCAGAAGCAACATTAGTTGAAGTTAAAATGCTTTAATGATTGATTTGTTTCTTACAAACATGCATCTTTTCACTTCACAAGATGTTATCTGATGGGTTGGAGTTGTGTTGATTACTTGTGGATTACTGTGATGTTATTATCAGCTGCTTGGACTCTGACGGCACCCATTCCCTGCAAAGAATCCACGTTATAATCCAATGCTAAATTTCTCAAAATTTCTGTTCTGATAAAGAAACAAACTCACCTCCATCTTGGATGGTCTGGGGTTGAGTAAATTCTCAGCACATTTTCATTTTTAGGCAAACTATTCCTTTAAAGGGGTCATAGGTTGCCCATTTTCCACAAGTTGATATGATTCTTTAGGGTCTTAATGAAAAGTCTGTGACATAGTTTGATTAAAATTTCTCAGTGGTAGTGTAAAAAACACCTTTTTCAGATCAAGCCGTTTTTGTAGCATTTTCCTTTAAATGTTAATGAGCTCTGCTGACCCCGCCCCTCTCTTCCGAGCCGCTCTCTGAAGGACTGTTTACTTTAGCCGCATTTATTGTGAAACTTGCTAATTAGCACATTATTAGGAAAGTCGATTTGCAAAGATTCATTACAAAACACACTTCTTCTGTAGATGAGGCTGGATCATGAATGATTCGCGCGAACATAGACGCATTTAGGCAGATCGGGGAGCATTCCCTTCAAAACAAACATAATCCACTGCGAGTTCAGCGGCTCAGATGTCGGGAGTAAATGACGACTGCTATGTTCATTATTACATCCAACAATAGAACACCTCAATCGCTTATTAGGAGTCATTCTTGTCTACATCTGCTCCAGCGGTGAAACAATGGTGGACTGATGACAGCTCACTCAGGGCGGTCTAAGGTAAGACACCAGTCCAGTCTGTGCTAAAACGCTACTGTCAATCAAACTATTGTGGGAGGGGCCTGTCTGTGTGATGTCACACACATCTGAGATCGGTTTGATTTGAGAAAGGAGAGATAGGGTGGTTGTGTACACACACTGCCAACACACATTTCAGTTCAAACAACTTGTAAAAGTGCATGTAGCATCCTATGAGCCCTTTAATAATTCAAAGACATCCAAAAAAAAAAAAAAAACATAATGTCCGTAGTCTATAATGTCATGGTATTTTTTGTCAGTGATGTGATTTTGTGTATAATGACCTCATCTTACATTCCCCAGTGTCTATTGTGAGCCAGAGGCTACTTGGGCTGAGAGCCTGGCCCTGTGCACCTCAGAGAACTCCAGTGTGATGTGAAATAACGAGCAACAGTGTGTGTGTGTGTGTGTGTTGATGTGGCCTCATGCTCAGGCAGCGGAGCGCTCTGTTGTTTATTGCTCTTTGGGTGCAGGAATAATAAGTGAGCTCTTCAGTCGCTTCCTTAAGTGGCCTGAGAGATTGGGAGTGCTGCAGACACAGAAAGTGCTGATGGCAGAGACCTGGAGTTTTTCTGGCGGATGCTTAATAATCTCACATCTTTCCTCCAACTGCTCCAATCCAATAAAAACACATGCCACTGCAGCAAATCAAATCATACGAGGACTCAACCTCCATAATTGATCTCCCGCTCTCTCTTCCTCTGTGTCTGCTGCTGTCTCTTTCTGCCCATCTCTCCCATCTTCACATTCTCGCTTTCGTCTTGCCTTTTCGATTTGTCTTTCTTTTTATTCCTCAAACTTTACTTTACATTCTTCCTTCCTCCTTCCTTTCTTTTTCATTTATTTTGGCCTTCCCTCCTATATTCTTTTCTTATTCCTCCCTTTCTTCTTTTTTGTCTTTATTTCTTTCTTTCTTTTTCTTTTCTACTTGTACTTCTTTTTTCCACCTTCTTTCCTTTGTGCATTTGTTCCTGTGTTTCTTTTGGCTTTCTCTGTTTC